AAGATCATGGGTCAAGCCATGAACAACACTAAACAAATTAGGCTACTTCAAATGGCTCACTTAGGGTGTCGGGTTGGTACGTTCATTGTGGTGTCGACATTCCACTTCAATCATCGGTCGAGGCCTATAAAGACTATTCCAACAAAACGGTTTAACATCGTCGCTCGGATTTATTGGATATCAAAAACCCAACACAAATAATACTACATATTGAATGCAATTCTAAATCTAGTTATCATCGAGTTAATTTAATCAATACTTATTCAACTTCAAACTTGTTACCACTTCCTCACTCAACTTCAACAGGTTATCAAACGGTCACTCATCTTTCCTTATGGTTACCCATCCACCACTCACTTGACTCCCGTCTCTTTAATTTGACAGAATATTACACGTGTATAACGACTTTCAGACGTGGCAAACTCCTTCAGTTAAATTGCCTACGTGTAATTAAACTCACAACACTCTCCTCTTCAAACATGCTTCTCCCCCATTTTCTCTGCTCATCAATTCAAACCCTTAATTCCCAATTCAAACCCACGACAGGCGAAAATTGGTGGAATCCGCCATCGCCCAGCTCAAAAATTGAGTGAGAATGGTTGAGTGAGTGTTGATTAAATTATCTCTTTAATGAATTCAGTTCGGCTTCATCAATTTAATTCTTGAAATGCTATTTATTTGATGAGCAGTGCAGTTGGTGGGCTAAATTTGAGAGAATTAAAATGTGATTTTGCTATTGATTTGATGGGGAACGATGACAATGATCGCTTCGTATTTAACAGAACAAGTTTGTGGAATGGGTAATTGTTTTCTGCCCCTCTCAATTTTTCGACCTATATGTGTTTATGAATGAATTTGCAATTGATTCAATACTTCGATGTAATGTTCTTTGGTTTTCTAATTAATCAGATGCGTGTGTGAATGTAAATGTTGTTTGCCTTTTTGCAAAACTGATTTATAATTTGATGAACAGTATTCAATTTTGTTGGTTTTAAGGTGGGAAGAACAGAACACGAGGGATACAGATTTTTTGATAAATAAATTTTTTTGATGGAAAGGAATTGGGTCGCCAAATTTGGAAATGGAATGGTTTTCACTTGAATTCGAATTAATTTTGCATATTC